ACTGGTCAGGCCGCAGCTGGAGCACTGTGTCCAGTTCTGGGCCCCACGCTTCAGGAGGGATGTGGACAGCATTGAGAGGGTCCAGAGGAGGGCCACCTGCATGATCCCGGGACAGCAGGGCAGACCCTACGAAGAGAGGCCACAGGACCTTAACCTATTCAGCCTTCGCAAGAGAAAGCTGAGGGGGAACCTGGTGGCCATCTATAAACTCACTAGGGGGGACCAGCAGGGTTTGGGAGAGACCTTGTTCCCTTGAGCGCCTCCCGGAGTAACGAGGAATAACGGCCACAAGTTGTTAGAGAGTAGGTTTAGACTAGACATCTGGAGGCCCTGCTTCACAGTCAGGGCGGCTAGGATCTGGAACCAACTTCCAAGGGAAGTGGTGAGGGCTCCTACCCTGGGGTTATTTAATAGGAGGCTTGATGTCTACCTGGCTGGGGTCATTTGAGCCCGGTTTTCTCTCCTGCCCAAGGCAGGAGGTCGGACTAGAAGGTCTACAAGGTCCCTTCTGACACTACTTCTATGAATCATCATACTTCATCTTCTTCGCTAATTGTGCTCCTGACTGATTCTCCAGAAGCAAGAGATTATGAGAAATAGAAACAAGCTTAGCGGTGCATTCATTTGTTAGTCTGTTCCTCTTTTTTGTCTTGATGGGTGACGCAGTAAACTTGTTTGCTGGTGTGGCGTCGTGTCGGATCAAGTGTTGTGAAGTCGAAACTGATATCAGAAAGTCGTAACGGTGTCAATTTATAAATGTTGTAAGTGCCATTTGCTGTAACTTGAAACGTCTTTAGTCAAGGACTGCCTGTAAACACTTCGTAGCCGAGCCCCATCTAGTTCCTCCTGGCAGTAAAAGTGCACTTTCCTTCCCCCGCTTCTCTTTCTGTTATTTCTTCAAAGTCTGATTAGCAACATGATGATTGTTGAATACCTTCACAATTGCTTTGCAGTTTGCCAATATTGTCTTCATTGTATTTGCAGTTATTATTTCCGTTGCCAGAAGAGTCAGCCCTTGAGCAAGACACCCAAATGCTATTAAATGAGCATTCTTTGCCTGTAAGATTTGCCATGCAGCTTTCATGTTACTCACATTATCAGTTACAAGGGCTTGTACCCTAGAGGGACCTGCACTTTCAGTCTCTTCACTCAGTAATTTGGCTATATATCTACCTGTATGAAACATTAATTACAACTTTGAAACTGCTACGCTTGCCTAATATTGTATTGGCATCCATTCATTGTTAGTAATGAAGTTTATGAAACAATGAATTTTTAGAAATGGAAAATTTCCCATAGAAAAATAAAGCACTGGAAAATGTTCTGCCCCACATCTCTGCCAATCAGTGGTGGGTAGGAGCAAAGTGGCATGTGGGCAGGAGCGCGGGGCCTGGGCCAGGGCTCCATTGCACAGGACTCCCTGGGTCTCGTGCAGTTCCTGAGTTCTCTGCCCAAGCCGCACACTTCCAGGGGGAAGGAGGAGGGGTGGGAAGCCTCGCATGATGGAGCCAGCAGCCCAGTCCCACTAGCTGCCACATGCAGGTCATGGGGGAACTGCGGAGAGTTTCGTCCCTCTCCTTGCTGCCCTGGCCGAGCCCCATGACCTGCACCACTGGCTTCATTGTACAGGGTTTTGGCTGGAGAACCTGGGAATTCCATGTAAGTCCCTTGCAATGGGTTTGGTGGGCAGCCATGTGCAGTCCTGGGGTTCTCTGGGACTGTACGTTGCCTGGGCACTCCACCTGCCATGGGCTTTGAGTGCCCCAAGGGCCTGCTGCTGTTGCTTATGGCAGGAGCTGTGTGCATTTGTGGGGGACACGCACACATGCCATATACCCTGCCCACAAACCCCAGACATCCATACACAGACCCAGAGCCCACACCCTTCTATCCCGCAATATATGAGAGTAAAACTTCATTTTGAGTTGTTATGCAATCACCTCTGTATGCACAATGCAGATGTACACCAATTGGGGAAAAATATTTTTTGAAATAAAATTAAAATATAGTTGACGTTTGATTTATACTATATAATTTGGGTTTTTTTTCTGGTTCTAAGATGGCAATCCCCCCTCCCAAAAGCAATACTTTTGTGGGCAAGGGGAGGGACTTCTGATGGCAACGGTCAGGGGTTAGGTGGCAGGACTTCCGGTCTCAAGGTGTCGACCAGGGGGTGGGGCAGCTGTTCAGCGGTCGGGCTATCTTTGAGGCCCTTGACACTTCACCTAAAGTCGTGAAGTGGCCCTCCAGCTGAAATAGTTGCCCATCCCTGTTGTAAGGTGCCCCAGCCAGGGGCTATAGGAGACAGCCAGAGGGACTGTTGTCCTTATTCCTGGGAGGTGGGGTAGGGCTCAGATACAAAAATATTTACATTGCTTAGGTGATAGTTTTCTAGGTTTATTTCTTTGTCTAATGGCAGATGGAATATTTTTCTTACAGGTTCTGTGTTTGGGGGTTTTTTTGGAAAGAGTTTCCATTTCTGGAAGACAGGGAAACATGTGGGGGGACCCTCGACCAGCCAACAGAATGGGCCATTTCCAGTAAGTATTTGAATTTGGACTTTATATTTCAAGGGTGCTTTTTTAATGAAATGTTTAAAGCAATGTGGGCTGTGACATTATGTTCTGTCTGACGCATCCAGGCATTACTGTATAACAAAGTGACAGGTTCCGAACCACTCCTCTCCCCCATTCAGGGAGATGAGGGTTTGCAAAGTATCCCTGGGATGCACAGAGCTGGAGCAAACAGAACATCTCTGTGATTCTGCAGAACTAATTTGGGGGTGGGCAATTATTTGGGCCAGTGCACCACATAAGGAGTTTTGGTGAGCTGTTGTGGGCCAGGTCAGTACACCCCAGCATGTAACAGCTCACCAAAACTCCTGGGGAGCTTGGCTGGGATGGGTCTGCAGGCAGGTGGGGAGCAGCATCTGGGAGCAGTGTGGATAGGTTGGGATGGTGCTGGGATCACAGGCTGGTGACAGTGTAGGGCCGGGGCCCCGTGGCAGAGCAGTAGTTCGTTGCCTGCATGCCCCTTAGACCTGTGTAAGTTCTGTGGGCAGGAGTATGAGGGGAGCAAATCGGGGCTCTACCCTGGGCCCCAGCCCCACACTGTCACCACCCAGCGATCCCTGGGTCTCCATGGAGACTGGCTGGGACCTGCGCTGGGGCCTCAGGCTGGCAGGGAGCTGTGTCTGGGGTTGTGGCTGAGATCTTGGGGCAGTAAGTGTGGGGCTGGAACCCAGGGCAGAGCCACAATCTGTTCCCTGCATGCCCCTGCCTGCAGTACCCATACCTGTCACGGGGTGTGCGGGCAGTGGATTGTGGCTCGGCCCCGACCACACTCTGTCACCACCCTGCAATCCTGGCCTTGGCTGCTCGTTCTGCTCCGAAACACCATTCCCTGCGTACCTGCGGCCCCATCCTATCGGCCCAGCTGCCCCCACTGCCTACACAGGTCCCAACCCTGGTGGTGGATGTGGGGTACATTGGGCCTGGGTTTAGCAGCAGCAGCTGGAAGGAGCTGTTGCCAGCACAGCCAGGGCTGCTGGAAAGTGAGTCTGGCCACTGCATTGCTCCAGCCCCTCTGCACCCAGGAGCAGTGGGACTGGCTGCATGTACCATGGCCTGGGCTGCCCCCTGTATCTAGGCTGGGAGGAACCCTCTGTGGGCCGGACAGAATCCCATAGTGGGCTGGATTCAGTCTGTAGGCCATATTTTGCCCACTACTGTTTTAAGTGCTTGCTGTGGCTTTTATTTCAAAGATCACTACATTTCCAGTCAGCCATTCAGGGATGGTCATGATCTCCATGGGTACCTGTAACTGTCCAAGGAGGCTGCTCCAACATGATGTAATTACAGTGCATCAGAGCAGACTTAATTAATCAAATCTAGATTAATAGAGTCTGCTGGAGCGTACTAATTAGCATGCCTCCAGCAGCCTCCACATCTTGTGCATTAGTGTCCCAATGCTTCAAAATGGCAGCAGGACTGCTTTAACTAAAGTTCATTGAACAAGCTTTAGTTAAAGCACTCCAGCTGGTATTTTGAAGCACAGGGACACTGATACACAAGACATTGTTGGTGCTTTAATTAGAGTAGCTCTTGGAGCCACTCTAAAG